TCCAGGCTGAACAGCCCCAGCTCCCTCAGCTCACTTGGGATCAGGTCGGGACGCGTGGTGCTGGATCCCGGAGGGCACCGGGTATCTCTGTGGAGGAGTCGAAGGGGCGATCACACCGAATCCCGACCTCAGGGTTTTGTGCTCCATCACCCATGGCTGTCATGGGACGGTTCAACGAGAGTATCGCCAGTGCAGAGCGCTGCGGCCGTCCCCTTCTCTTCTGGTTACCAATAACTGCCTGAAGGATTTCGGGACTTCTCACTGCAAAGTCATCCTTAAACGAAGGCTCCTGCATTTTCAAACACTTAAGCCGTGCTTAGCTGGGTGCCTGCGGCTGGAGCTGTGCCCAGGCAGCGATACCGATAACCACGGCCTTAAAGATAAGGGCGAGGTTGGGCGCCCGGGAGCAGCAGAGGTGAGGGGGGGGAGCCCCTGCCCTTGAACCCCGCTGCGATTCCCTGCCCACAGTCACCGCAAACCTGGCGGGGGGAAAAAAACCCTGCATGGTGGTTGTCCCCTCCAGGGTCCCCACCACCCACTCCCGCTGTGGGGAACACCGGGAGCTCGGTGCCCGTGCTCACACGGCTGCTTTTTCCCTTCAGCTCACAAAAATTGGGTTTTTATTCCAAACGGGCACCAGCAAATCCACCTCGCTCCACCTTGCGCCCCCTCGGGCGGCCTTTCCCCGGCTCGGAGGCCAAGTTTGCAGGGAGGGGGACACTCACCAAAGCCACCTTTTGTGCGGGCAGAACAGAGGGGCATTGAGCAGCGCTCCCGAGCAGGGGCCGGGCAGCCAGCTCCCGTACGCTCCTTCGGAAAGCGCAGCTGAATGAGGCCAGCTAATGCTGCACAGTTCACTGGACAGCAGCAGCACGCTCATTCATATGCAGAAACGCAGATTTTCATGTTTTCACACGTGGCAGCCTTCTCAAGGTCTGACCTGCAAAGTTTATACATTTTTTTTTTCTCCCCTCTCTTTTTTTTTCACATCCCAAAGAGCAATTCACATGCAGAAAGGCACGGGGAGCTTCTAACCGACTCTTTTATTATGCTAAACAAGGTCAAATAGATAAAAATTCCATGTTATGGCTCTAAGACAAACCATTACAATATCCCTCACCCTCCCTCACATATTCTGTTGCTGGGAAAAAGAAGCCATCTCACTCGGACTGGAGTAATCCACTGGATTTAATAGATTTTTTCTTCCAAATTGCATCCAAAAACCAGAGAATGACAACACAAACCCAAGTTACGTCCAGTATTTTTTTTTTTAACCCCTGACCAAAAAAAAAAAGTCTCTTCCGAGCGTTTAGTTTGGAATGGCCTACATTAAGCCGAAGCAAAAGAGCATTTTAAAGTAATGCACGTATCATTTCTTCAAAAGGAAAAATCAAGCCCGATACTTTGAAACTGAATAACAGCCACAGACGGGAACAGTGAAGAGCTTTAACAAACATCCTCTACTAACACCAAACACTCAGTTTCAAAGGAAATGTGCACTTCCCACACAATTAAAAGGAAAACAAAAAGAACCAGTAATAGAAACAGCTCCATTACTTTGCATTTTTGGAATGAATTCATCGCTGGGATCGGAATATTCTACACACTCTGCTCACTACCGGGAGTATTTACCACGTGGACGACAGCTCACAGGACTGACCCGAGACGGGAGCTTTAAGCGGGTAACGATCTCGATTATTAATGAGGAAAGGGCTCACACAAATCGGGGGGGACACACACAAGCAGCCGTCACGAACCGATTTTGTTCACGAGAAATGGCTGCGGCTTACGGAGAGAGAGCGGCGAGGAAAAGAATTTTCATTTCTCGCCGTTCAGCCGTTCCGAAACCGTTAAGAGCGACCCCGACAGGACCGGCAGCAGCGATGTCGCCGGGGGATAACGAGTGGATTGTGGCCACGCATCGGAGTTTATCTCCAGGCTCCCGACGTCTTTCCCTGGTACTTCGAGCCAACGTGTTTTCCACCCAGTTTTCTCCATCGCACTCCCAGCTTTCTGCTGGCGAAGCCTCCCTGCCCACCTCCGGGCTCGTCAGGCTCCCGTTTAATTAGAGGAGCGCTATTAATAAACTCCCTCTCGCCCCGCACGGCTCGTCCCGGGCGAGCTGTCGAGCTGTCCCTGCCCCAGCTTTTAAAAACCCGCACTGTAGCTGCTGCGTTATTTACGTAAAAGCCGTCACCCCGAAACTTTCCTGCACAAAATTCTGCCTGCCAGAAGGAAACCAGACCAAAACCAACTCAGCAAAACCCTTATTTTTGGCAAGTGCCTGGGGAGAGGGTGACTGCTCGGATCCCCTCGGCTGAAATTTTACGGAAAGTCAACGCTTCGACGTTCCGTGGGGCAGGGGTTGACCCACGTCCTCCGCGGAGCCTGACTTCTCCCTCCCAACCAGGCGGCAACAAGGGCACTAAGGGCTGAGGTAGCCTTGAAACAGAACAGTCCCGCTTGAAACAGGCCCCGCTGAACCGATTTAAAATGCACGAAAAGCCAACAAAAAACCAAACAAACAAAGAAAAAAAAAAAAAAGAGAGCAGGGCAAGGTCTTGAATGCATCATAAATAGTAGCAAAAAGCGTAACGCATTTCTCAGCGCCTCTCGAACATTAATGCGCATCCTTGCCAAAAAGACACCGCCAAAGGCAGCAGAAAGCGCATTCTCCTTTTTTCCAATTATAAATTCAAGATTAATGCCAAAACCGCAGAATGCCAAACCTGACTGGTCTCTCAAGCAGAAATCGAAATTATACGTATTGCTCTGTCTGAACTGAATCGCTCAGACGCGACGGAAGGAAGAGGGCTCTGGAATAAGGCAGCATCATTGATATTCAGAAAGGGGTTTGGAGAAACTCGTACAGACAGCTCGTGTGTCCTGGCTGGGGGGGAAGGAAGGTTATTCCTCGAGCGTAATGCACGGCGAAACGAAATTACCATGACTCCATCGAAGCAGATTACTTTGGGAAAGACAGAAATCTTACCCACAAGGTATCGTAACAACTTCGTGCCCCTGAGGAGTGGGGCGTTACGTAACAGCAGACCTCAAAAACACCCTTTTCCGTAGCTATCGCATAAACACGTGGAATTACTGAATCCAGCAATTTCTCTTTACTCGTTTTTGGATGTTTTACGTGAGCTGGAAGTCTCTCTTCCCTTCTCCACAGGGAGGTTGGAGCCCTCTCTGCGTGCTCCTACTCCCAACGCGCGTTACTCTCATACTTTTTCCTGGGAGTAATTTTCCGTAAGGGCGGGGATGGGGGGGGAAGAAAACCTGTAGTACGTAGTAGCTATCGCATGGCACTCCCGTTTCCTAAGCAGCACACCAGTTTTGTAAAAGACAGAGTCAAGAGCACCATGAACAGACGTTTTACCGAACGTTTCCCTGCTCTGCTGCTCAGTGACCTGCACCCGTGGGTGCCCGGATAACCGGAGGCTCCTCCGTGCTGTCTGCAGGTTCAAGGCACTTTTGAAACGCAGCATCGGAAGTTCGACGTTTAAAACATGGACGAACGACGACGGAACGGCGGACCGTGGTAAGAAAACTAGCAAAACGCTAACAGCTACCCGTTGCTTTCTCCTCATCGATATAAAAAAAAGAGTAACGTCAGAGATCCAGTGTACAAATACAAAAAGATTGTGCATAATAAATGTACTAGAATACTGTACATACAGCATAAACCGTTCACTGAGAATGATTTAAATATACCTATTGGTCTCCTGACTCGGAAGACAGAAGAATGAAGTCCTGTAATCCTAGAGGATGCGTACAAACCCTCGCCGAGAGGTTGAATCACTAGCCAACGGTATCCCTGAAAAGAAGCAGAGTCAAATGTTTACTTAATGGAAGCCATTATTCACGGGGTTGCTGGTTACGATAAACCGGAAGGAAAAACGAGACGTTATGTTCTCGGCCGACGTCAAATCCAGACGGAGTTCTTCCCGTCGCCCGACTTGCTGCTGGCGCTGCTTTTGTTCGAGCCCGCTTTGGATTTCTTCTCTCTGGAAGCGGCAGGGTTGTTCTGGTTGTTGTAGGCCTGGATGGCGAGGTCCAGGCGCTCCTGAGCCACTTTGATTTCCCGCTGCAGGGTCTCCAGGTCGGCAGGAATGTTTTCTTCGTTGCTTCCGTACTGCTGTTCCTGAGCTATGTTGGCTTTGTTCTGCTTGTAGGCCATCTTGGCGTTGGACAGGTCGGTGTATTGCATCTGCTCGGGCTTCACGGCGATGTTGTAGCCCGGAGGAGCGGAAGGAGTGTTCCAAGTGAAAGGGTAGTTGTAGGTACCGGAGTCCTCCAGCTCTTTTCTCTTGTTGTTCAACGTGTCACGGATCGTGCCGAATCCCAAATGGAGCATCTCCCAGACGTTCAGAAGCAAACACATGCAGCTCACGCCGTACATGATCAAGGAAAATGGTCTTTTCGGTCGGCCTGGAGATGAAACAATCGATCCTGTGCGGGCACGGCTTCCTGCTGCACACGAAGATGGGGCTGACCTCGAAGCCGTACAGGAAGTACTGACCCACGAGGAAGCCGATTTCGAACGTAGTCCTCGCCAGAAGCTGCAGGACGTAAATCTTCATGAGCCCGTCCTCCCGGATGCGCCGCCTGCCGTCGTGCTTGGCTTTGGCAGGGGGCTGCTGCTCCTTGTTCTCTCGTTCGCTTTCCAGCTCTATCTCCGGGTACATCATGGGGTCTTCCTCGTGATCCTCCTCGGCCTCCTCCAAGGCGCGGTGTTGTTTCCAGCGCATGGAAAAGCTTTTGCTTCTGATTCTTCTGTCGGCTTCGCTGTGTTCCACCATCCGGGCAATTTTATGAATGGCGTAGCCTAAATACATCACGGACGGGGTGGCGACGAGAATGATCTGAAAGACCCAAAACCTGACGTGCGAAAGAGGAGCAAAAGCGTCGTAACAAACGTTCTCGCAGCCGGGCTGCTCCGTGTTGCACACAAACTTGCTTTGCTCATCGTAATAGATGGATTCTCCTCCCACAGCAGTCAGGACAATCCGGAACACGATCAACGCCGTCAGCCAGATTTTGCCCACAAAGGTCGAGTGATTGTGGATCTCCTCTAACAGACGGGTCAGGAAACTCCAACTCATGGTGGTCAAATAATTTTATCTAGAAAAGAACACACACATCCCCCCCAAATACGTATGAATTTATCAACTTGAGCTTAAATGCTGCAAACATCCAGCCAACAGAGTGAGAAAACTCTAAAATTTTCCAACCAACGTACAACCGCGTGTGTGTGGCGTCATCTGTTATCGGGAAACTCCAGCTGCCTCAATCTGCTTGAAGATCCTACGTCTCCTCCGCAGGCTTTTGAGAAGTCCGCTGCAAAAAAAAAACAAAACGAGAAAAGCAGCCGTTCAGTGCTCTTTCACAAACCAAATGCGCTCCCGAGCAGAAGGTTTGGCCGAAGAACATCTGACTTCTCATCTGACGCTCAGTCTCTCCTACAGACTTAGGGTCAGTCTCCCAGGGAGAGAGGCTAAAAATCTCCCTTCCGAGGCCAGGAAAGACATCAGGATGGATTTTGTAGGGGAGGGGGGATGGAGTAGAAGGAAAGCCTAGCTAAAGAAAGGTATCTGTCAAAAATTTCAGAAGAGATCCGAGATAGAAAGCAAGAGAAACCTGCATTCTAATAGTAAAAAAATAAGGAGGCCGGTGGGACTCACGGCTGGCAACACTGCGAAGTCTTAGGATGAAGAAAACCCACTGATGGTACAGGTGCCCCCTGAAGTGGGAAACTGGGAAAACACTGAGCACGAGCAGAACCGTTGGGTGTTGTTACGGCACAGGGGTAACGCGTCTTTCAGCCCTCTGGGGATGTCAAATGTAAGGTTGCCGAGCATTAGGAAACAGGAATTTTTACGTCAAAACAACATTTGGTGAAAGACCCGAAAACCAGAACTGGACGAATCTCTGGCTCTCCGACCTTCACAGTGATTTATTCTTCACCTGGGGAAATTCCAGGAAGAAGACAAGTATTCGCAACTATTCAACTTCTTGCACAGAATTCGAGCTGTTGGCGGGCAAAATAATGAACTTTGGGGGCAGGCGATCAATACGGAATTAAAGGATAAAAATGCAAACCCCCTTCTGGTGAAATTCAGCGTTTCATGGAAAAGGCAACAGCACAGACATAACGGGGGCAAGGCTGCGCAGGACATTTGATTTATTACTTCCTGACAGCCCGAGGCAAAAAAATAGCACAGGAGAGTATTAAAAAAGCCCGTATTAAGTGGATTAAAAGTAACGAAGATCTTGACAAACGATTCCCACTCGGGAACCAAGAGCAATTGGATGGAATTACAGCAAGTGCTGCAAAGATCGGGCCCAGGCCTGGCAACCAGGCTGCGTTTTCCCCCGAACTCGACCAGAAAATGGCTGCTGACAAAACCCGCAAATGGCACAGAAGTTTGCAGGCTGACAGATAAAGAGGAGAGTTACCAGTGATGCAGAAAAACACAGATTGCTCGAGAGGCTGAGCCCGCTGAAACGAAGCCGCCGCTCTAACCTAGCTTACCGCAAAGATGTGCTGGCTAAGAAAAAGAACAGGAGGCTTTTTCTTTTTTTTTTTCAAAAGAAGAGAGTGGTTCTTCCAGAGATCTGTTAACAGGAAAGGGAGTGAAGGTCCTAGGGGTGAGCATTTCGAGGAGAGCTGGAGATCAAGCACGGAGGATTAATGCGATCCTTGGCCACAGGAGCCAGGAGGGGGATCTTACCTCCTCGTCAGCAAGCGAGCGCTTGAAGCCTGTGTCTGCATCCTTCAAAAGTTGCTTAAACATCAGAGAGGGAACCCATACGTCTGGAAACCAGCTGCAGAACGGGGAAGGTGCCTAAAAGCGAGAGATTGAAAGAATTCAATTTAGCTGGAAACATGGGAAGAAAAGGAAGGAGCACCGGGGAATGACTTAATGTGGTGGCTGTCGATGGCACACGCGATCAATCCAAGGTTTACAGTCGTAGCCTTTGCTTCTACGCAACCATCCGACCATTACGCTGTAGAGAGAGTCGGCTGAAATTACTTTTTGAACCAGAAAAAAGACCAGAAAGGCACCCAAGCACAGCTCTGTGAGCCTGAGCTCTGCGTTAGCGGGACGAGCCGGTGTTTCTGATGCCCGCCCACACGGCATTTCATAGAATCATTAAGGCTGGAAAAGACCTCTGGGATCATCCAGTCCAACCACCCACCCAACACTGCCAAGACCACTAAACCAGGAAGTGTTTTTTTGAAAACCTCCAGGGATGGCGACTCCACCATTGCCCTGGGCAGCCCGTTCCAACGTCTCACTGCTCTCTCAGTGACGAAATTTTTCCTAATATCTAACCCAAACCTCCCCTGGTGCAACTTGAGGTCATTTCTCTTGTCATTAGTAACTTGGGAGAAAAAGAACAACACCCACCTCGCTACAACCTCCTGCCAGGTAGTTGTAGAGAGTGAGAAGGTCTCCCCTCAGCCTCCTCTTCTCCAGACTAACCAATCCCAGCTCCCTCAGCCGCTCCTCATCAGACTTGTTCCCTAGACCGCTCACCAGCTTGGTTGCTCTCCTCTGGGCCCACCCCAGCCCCTCAACTTCCCAGCGGCTCGCTCCGCCTGGGAGTCACGACGGGCGGTGGAGCAAATCCGGGGCTTGGCCACGCGCCCCAAGGGTCCCCGACAGCCCCAAGGGTCCCCGACACGCCGAGGAGAAAAGGTGAGTGAGCCCCACAGCTGGAACTGGGGATCGCGGAGGGAAGAGCAGCGACACCAATCAAGCTCCCAAGCGCGGGCGCCAACGGGACAGACACATGGCTGGTCGGCACGTCGCGATTCAGGGATTAAAAGCAAGACAAAAGCCAAATGAATCAGAGAATAAATAGCTGGGGTCGGAAGGGACCTTCAAAGGTCATCCAGCCCAACCCTCGGTAAGAGACCACGTTGGTCTTTGCCTCGACATTCCCGAAACAAAACCTGAAACTAAAGACACCACTGCCACAACGACGGAAGGACTAGAGGTTTCCTGGTGCTGTACGGACCTGAACATGAAACTGAACTTATAAAGTGGGTTCTGAGAAATGAACATGTAATAAGACTACGCGATAAAACGAAAGAAAGGACCACTCCCTGCTCAGCTCTTCCCCAGCCTGACCCTGCTCACTCTCGGCACTTTCCTTCACCGTTCTTGAACATGAAGCAAATTCCGAGAAACTGAACTTATAAAGTGAGTTCTGAGAAACGAACATGTAATAAGACTACGCGATAAAACGAAAGAAAGGACCACCCTCTGCTCAGCTCTTCCCCAGCCTGACCCTGCTCACTCTCGGCACTTTCCTTCACCGTTCTTCCACCTTTGTCGCTCCGCGGATGGATGGGACTGCTGGTAGCTGTAACAACTAACTTCTCCTTTGTCCTTCCTCTTTCTTTCTCCCCTTTTTGTGCTCATGCCCTGGTCGTCAGGCAAATAAAGCTCATTGGCACTTGACTCCGTTTTGAGTCTTAATTCCACTCCTGAGAAACGAGCAGAACCTCGTGCCAGTCCTGGATCAGCGTGCGACACCGACCCCGCCACCAGCAGGAACATCTTCAACGAGATCAGGTTGCTCAGAGCCCCGTCAGACCTGATGCTGAATGTTTCCAGGGATGGGGCTTCTGCCGTCAGTGTTTCACCACCCTCACTGTAAAAAAAAAAATCTTAAGAAAACCTATTTAAATTAAATTTCAAATTCTAAAATAAAATTTATTCTGTAAAAGAAACAACCCAAGCTTAAAAAAATTCTTTAAATGAGTTTAAGAAGGGGTTAAGTTTCACTCACTGGAGATGTCGGGGGCGAGCTCTTTTCTAAAAGTAAACTACTAACTAAATTTGAGATTAATTAAATACTGTTGCCAATGTAAATTTGGACTGAAAGCAGGAACCAACATTTAAATATTCAGATACCGTCAATGCTTATTCATCAGCAGTTAACAACAGAGAAGCCTAAAATCAGGGCTGACTTCAGTAGAAGAGGAGACACTGAATCTTTATTTTCAGACGAGCCGCTCTCTCGACATCTAGTAAAATCACTTATCAGCTTCCCGCAGTGCGCTGCCTACCTGTGGCCAGTCCCTCGCCCCTCGCCGGCCCCCAAGAGGTGGGTGGGCAACAACTCG